ATTCAAAAACAAAATTATTTTGTGTTTTAAAAATATTGAGTAATATTTTTGGAACAACTTCTAGAAACCAAACGTTGTTAGTACATCAGAGTTTCCTAAGAAAATGTACAGTACATAAGTTCATTCTAAATTATTTTTATATCATTACTATACCTTTCCGATTTCAGTATGCGGAGGTTTATGTTAAACAACAAAGAGAACGTATCAAATGTGTTTCTAGAAATATATCTTAAGCAATTACTAAAAGTAATAAGAATTGAAAAATTCCTTAAAAGTAATAGTTCAAGAAAAGCTAAAGGACTTAAGTAATAGTAAAGAAAACGAAGCCGGGGACCTGTTCACGTGGGGATCAGTGGTGGCCAGGTGAAAGCTAACTACTTGGAAGCCGAGATGAAAATTAAGATCAAAGATAAGTATAAACAGATAAAAAGGAGACACAGTGAGATATGACGGCTTGGAGAAAGGGAATTTAAGTGAATATCACACCTACGTAACATAATCCGTGATATTCTAAAGTCAAATTTAACAACACATTAAACACCAAATTCAAATGTGTGAATAAACCTGTTTAGCTAATGATATAAAATCACCATTAGACGAAGCTATTGCTGGCTAGTTGTAAAACAATATGGTGAGTGTTTGTCAGGCATAGTTAGTAACAGGAATTTGGTGTTTTTGTATGTGTTCTTGGTTGTAAAACATTTATCACTTTTTTATTACATTAGATTGAAGCTCTGTCGTCGATTTTTGAATGGATTTAATAATGTGTCATTTAAATAATAGAGCAATAGAAAAATACAAGTAGTGACCAACTCGAAAAAGATGATGACCAGTCCTTCTATCGAAAGGACTATAGAGTTTTATTTGTTGTTGTTATTTTCTGCTTGTTCCACGATGTTGTATGTCGCAGTTTAAATTTGAAAAGTAATTAGCTCTTCAGAAACAACGATGAAAATTAAAAATAATAATGATAAGGTTTATTAAATATAAATACTTAATCCAACATATAAACTTAAATAAACATTGTACAGAATCAGTGACTTATTATACATTTGTATACAGAAGTAGAAAAAAAGAGCATGAAACTTTATTCCTCATTATTTAGTGACCAAATACGTTAGGCTTAGTATCTAATTAAATTGGTTCCTCCTTTTATACATGTATTTGGTTTTGCTGAAATACGATACAGTTTCTCTGATCTCATTTGTATTAAAAAAAATCCAAAAGTATTTCATCGATTTTTGGACTAATTTAAAGTTATTTACACGTTGAATGAGATAAAAACTCCTTTACGACGTAACTTCCATTATTAATCGTTTTTGAAATAACTTCAAAACATTTCCTTGTTACGTTTTATTTATATACTTTATCATTTGGGGTTAAAAACATTAATATTTAATTCCCTCTAGAGAAGAATTGAAATTGAAAACACGAACATTGCATAATTTTCTTGCAATTAACATTAAATGTGCTTCAAAGTAAGATATATGCATATAATTAAAATTGATGATATATACATGTTAAAATCGATGTAAAAATAATGATATCTCTACCTTACTGTGGCCAATAAAGCTTTCACTATATTTTTATTAGAATCTTAGTTTTGAATTAAAGGGTAACCTAGTTATTTGTTGCAGTTGAAATGCATACTTTTCAGAGTGCATTAGCTTTTTAAACTAATCATGCACGACATATCAGCTTCAGAAGTAAACTCGTTTTAAAGGCTTCGCTAGCGTCAGACTTTTAAGTATGGTAAGAATCGCCCACTGAGAATGCGAATTTGTAGAGATGAATTAATAAACAAACAAAACAATAAACGTGTTAAAGAAAAATGAATTGAAAGGACAAATACTCACATATCTTTTTTTTGTTGCTAAAAGGTATCTTATGTGTTAACAAAAGAGCTTTCAATGAAACTGTATTTATACACGAATTAAACTAAACACACGCTTTTAAAAGAACTAATTAAAACAAATGAACGTGCATAAAACTTGGGTTATGTTTTTGAACGCAGACTAATACATTAAAGAAACAATTATACATGCTGATTGATTAACAGCCATATACTTACAATAACTAAAGCCAACACGCTATTCTAAAATCCCATCCCTATCGACGATGCAGCGCATTAAAAACAGAGTTTATCGTAAGATATAAATAACATAATAGCAAATGTGAAACTATTACTTTTAAAATTGATCCATAATAGTAAAAGTGAAAACTTTATAATTTTTCGTAGAAGACTAGCGAACAGATCAATGGAAATCCTGCCTGATATAGATCCTCTCATTGGTGTTTACTTGGTTTTACCACAATATTACAACATGTGAGAGTATAGTATTGTAGGATGAAACACGATATTTTCATCAGTCACCTAAAACACATTTTCACATTTGCTGTTTGTAAAAACTTAATATTAAAACAAACACACGAAATACAAAAAGGGCTCAAACTTTACTTTCTCGTGATATTCAAATATTTGGTTCTATGCCACCTGGGAGTTCAAAGAGTGTCCACGACTGTTTCATGTACGAGATATTCTTTTCTTTGCCATTTGAGTGCATAAAATGGTTTACTTCCTTGTGACTGACCAAGACAAACTTGATATCTTTCTTTGTCAACTAAGTCTGTAAAGGAGCTTACTCGCGCAGGATTGACCATGCTAAACATCCTTACTAACTATAGGCGGCCAACGGACCTTACTCAGCCACGTTTGGTCCAGATAAACATTACTCCATTTCTACCGACTTAGTGTGCAAAGAAGCTTACTTCCTTACAATTTATCTTTGAAAGAAATTTATCTCTTTCTCTGCCAACTTTATGTCTAAAGGCGCGTTCTTGTCTACGACTGATACAGGTAAACGTTCTCCGTTTCTCCACTAACTTAGTGTAAAAAAGAAAAAAAACGTTTAGTTGGAAACTAGCGACTAGTTTGTTTGTTCTCTTGAACGCTAGCGAATAGTGTAAACAAAGCTATCTCTTCTTTTGCTAACTTAACGTGTAAAGGGGATTTCTTGTCTACGACTGATCGAAGTAAAAATTATCCCCTTCTCTGTACAAAGATGTTTACTTGCACAAGACTGATCCAGTTAGCACGTTATTGTTTTTCCTGCAAAGGAATATATTTGTTCATTATATCAAAATAGTAATTAATAATAGCTAACCTAATTACTATAATTCTTTACACTGTTTTCTGTAGTTAAAGAAGTTGACCTTTCGAGTGGAGCTAAGTGTTTAATCTTTGGCTAGATTATCTCTTTCAATCTGGTTGAAACTTTAAAAAAAGCTTACTGGATCAAGGGAACCCGAATGTATAGAAAATGTTATATAGAATAACAACAATAATCCCTCAACAATGACTTGTGATATTTAGTTCTTCTGCACACCTGAAATTTGATTTCATCGTTTACTTTCAACTTGGTATGATGAAATGTAATAATAATTCTATTAATAAAAAAGTTAGATATTGTGTACAAATATGGAGAACAACCTACCAAGTACCTTCATATCCTTGCTAGCCTCAACCGTTTGGAAAGAGGGCGCTTCTGCTGATACCTCACACCTATACCGGCCTTCGGAATCGAGGTCTATGTCGTTCAAATATACTTTATCTTCTCCAGACTTGGACAACTATAGTGATAAGAAAGGTATTAAACTTTTGATTAATGACCTGGAAACAGAGTAATTAGGCTTGACAGTTGTTATTGTTATCGTTACTTTATAATTAATTACAACTTTGATGTAACAACTGTTATCTGTTTTAAACTAATTTGATCAAGAATATTAAATATTACTCAGAACAGACATTATTACTAAGATAAGTATTTTCTAACTAGCTTAAAAGTGTTTTGTTTGCTTTTTACTAATATACTATGATAGCCTGATTAACTGTACTGACTGACATAATGTAATAATACTGTTCGCTAAATTCGTTTTGGTTTGATTTAAAAACAAAAAAGGTATTAATAGTTTTAGAACTCGCAAACTTCAGTAATTTCAATTTGACGAAAACACTTTACATGTGGAAAAACTATAATATGGATTAATGGGACCAGACATATAAAGATATGATATCCACAAAAAGAAAGTCAAGTTACATAAAATGTAAACACGATCTAGAAAAAAAAAGTTTAATTTTATGAAGATGTATAAATATGTAGATATGTGAATTGACAAGTTTAAACAAGGGCCAATTGGGGCCAAATATGTGAATTGACAAGTTTAAAGAACGAGCAACTGGGGCTAACTTGGATCCTTCCCTTTTATTGAAACAGGAACTTGTATCAACATGATATCACTACGTTTTGTTTTAAATTACAATTTTCCACAACAGAAAGCTTTATTTTTATCATAATCTGGTTATTATTATTTTTACATGAAGCTTGTCTATAGCAAACGAAGGACTTATTTTAACAGTTGCTTTGAAGGGTGGAAAGCTTCATAATTTTTATGTGTATGTTCTAAATTAACAAAATAACAAAAAAAAAATTAAAGATACTGATGGTACTGCCATCTTTTCGACAACATTGTTACTAATCTTAAAGTTATTACCTGCGCCTTTTGAGGAGACTCCCTATATTATCGAACATGGCAGGATAAGCGTGTCTCAGTGTTTTTATGCTATTTGCCTGTGTATTTGATAATATAAGGAGAATTCTGAACAATATCAACAACAACAACAAAGATTTACTTATGAACCAATACATTCGCTTGAGTAGCAACTGAGAAAAGGTGGAATTTAGCGAAAAAAAAATGTCCATGTAAAGCGTAATGTAAGAAAATACCAGATACGAAGATTATACTTATGCTTATTAAGCCAAAAAGTTAAAGGCGCTGAGATTAAGATATCTCATGCTAAAACGCCAAGCAGGTTGAATAAGTATGACTTTGAGATGTATTAATACAATATATTTTCTTTGAAAAACAAATGTTTTTAGTCTCCGATACATAATAATAATAAAGTACATGTTCAATAATTTTGAGCTGATAGACTATAGTAAGGTAGTTTGCCAACAGCACCCACCGCCAACTTTTGGGGTACTATAATCGAATAATGGAATTTGCCCGTCGTTATTTATTGCAGAGGAACTGATTCATTTACATATTTTGCAATCATACTTGAATTTCAAACATTTTGTCACCACAGATAAGCATTGAAGACCACGAGCCTGCTAATGAATTACGCCATTATTTTTTTTTTAATAACAGTTGGAAACACATTAAGCATTAATGAAGATATCTCAGAAGGTGCAGGTAGGAGAAGGAATGTAAACTATTGAATTAGAAAACATCTATGAGAGGACGGAAAATGATGTGTTATAATGGAAAAATATAACTTAATTTCCTTCCTTTTCGCATGAAAGCGCACGCAGCAAAGCAGATGAAACTTAAACAGGGCAGCTATAGTGTACTATTGCGATCACTTCTGAAAAGGAAAGATTAGTTAGCACTGACAGCACCGTCGAAAGTTGGAAAGTTTTACAATTTACGTTCATGTCGTTGTATAATTTATAGTTATATCAAATAAAAATTAAATAGCTTTTGAATTATGAGTACAGAATAGAAAATATTAACTTTTATAGCAATATAATTCCATTTCATGCCTTTGTATTAATATTTGTATTAAAACTTAAAATAAACACTTTCTCAGGGTGGAGCATGTTTAACACTCTCAATGAGAATGAAAATGAATAAATCTTAGAAATATGATAAATTACGTTTTTTTTCTAATATATACTTTACAAGGATTAATGAGATACATTATATTTTTATGTAACTAACATTACACCAATTATTGCAAAGTTCTTTGTATTAGATGTTTTTACACCCTTTCATAAATTCTGCGTCCACCGGTGGGTCAGCGGTAAGTTGACGTATTGTTACGCTCAAATCCGGGGTTTGATTCCCCGCAGGACATAGCAGATAGCTCAATCTGGCTTTGTACTAATCTAACTAACTAACTAATTCATAAAAAATGGACGAGTAAAAAATTATTTGAACATTTAGTTATTTTTTAACTGCATTTTTTATTTTGGAATTGTATTTAGAAATTACAGAAGAAATTTCTTATATAAAGCTGATAACATTTAGTATATGCCATTATAAAAGGTTCGGACTGTCTACGACTTTTATTAATGAGTAATTGAAGCATGATTTGGGTGTGTTTTAAGGTTTGGTTGCACGTATGTGTGATGAGATAAATTATCAAGTGATAATTCCATCGCGATCATCACCGAAATGAGGGACGTTCAAGCGTCTATCAAGTAGCGTACAATTGTTTTTGAAAAGTATATAACATTTACTTTCGAAATATCAGATTCAGTTGCTTCGATATTTCCTTTGACCAAACACACGCGATATAACATGTTATTTGATATCTTACCCTTCTTCGACATATTGGACTTCTCGTTCATTTAGCTTTGATAGCCTAACGCGAACAAATCTACAAACCCACTTTTTTTCTTCTCTCTACAGGAAATACGAATTGTGTGTGGGAAAATTCTACTACAATTTCCCATTCAAGCAACCTAAGATAAATGAGTAATACATGAAAGCTCCGTTTTGTGAAAGAATTACAATAAACACTGGAAAGCAAAATTTGGAATAGAGTGGTCAGCATTTCAACTTTGTACCTATTTAATTGATGTTGTCAATGCTGTTCAGAATACGAATATATCGTGTTGATGTGTCAGAACGTTTGTAAATGTTGTTTTAAATAAGAATATGATGTGTTGGTATTGCAGAAAGTTTCTCTCTCTGTGAATATTTCAATAATAAATTCAGCCAGTAATTATTTATGTAATTTGTCTATCAAAAAGATCAAAACTGTTTTGTTTCAATATAAGCTGAATATATTATATAATTGTCAGGTTTTTATCTATATATATGGGCCGAATTCTTTACAGTAGATATTTGTGACTTATCGAACAATAAATAAAACACAGTACTCAGTCCATTTGTTTTAAAATAATCTATAAAAACAAGTCAAACGTATATATAAATGTTCGTTATACAGTTGGTTACCACAGTTGTGTCCAGAGCTTTAACTAATCGTCACTGTCTTGTCAAAGGCTACACAAGTTGGTTCACTTACGTTAGAACACAATTGACAAAACAAATTATTTCTTCTCTACTCTGTTATTACAGTACAATCTGTGACAAATTATATTTAGAAATCGCCACTATGCGTCCTTTATGGCTATACTCACAGTAATTCAGACTATATCTATCTAACTCGCTATGTCTGCCTTGAACTACATTTTGTTCGCGTATTTATAGCCCAACCGAGGCCTAGAACGTTCTAGACATTACGAGTTATAATGATGCAATAATACTCAATCAAAACAACGAGAAAAACTTAGAGGTTTCTAGTAACATGACGCGATAATACAACAAACGAAAATTCTCAACAACTGAACTACTCAACGTATTATTCATACACAGTTACCTAAACAAACCTGCGCTAAACAAACAAACAAACTATCCCTTCTAAAAGTAACTAAATTTAACACTCGCATTGAAATTAAACAGTTGTATGTATCTGACAATAACAATTAAAAATAAAATAAAACAAAGGTTGTGTAACTACAAATGCGGCTTTTAATTTGTTTATATTTTCAAATGAATAAGTTTCATCAATATAGTTAAAATTAGCAAAATAAATCTTAAAGAATTATTTTGAAATGGGTTCTGCTTCTGAAATAAAAATTCTAACAATTGCATAATTGTGCAATTGAAAAACATACAATCTTCAGGTTTCTAAATATAGCAATAAAAGAACATGGGTTTTAAAGTAACTTCACTATTCATAGAAATATAACGTATTTTCGGCTAATACGGTGAATAAAAGCCCCTCCCCCCCTTAGTGGCACAGCACATGTTTGCGGACTTATACTGCTAGAAACCGGTTTCCGATACCCGTGGTGGGCAGAGCACAGATAGCCCTTTGTGTAGCTGTTTGCTTAATAACAAACAACAACAACAGTGAAAAAAAGGAAACATGCCAAAAACACAACCATAATTCATAATTAATAATCCTGACTAATGTTGATTTAATCGGACAAAATCAGGACAACGATAATTCATAATTAATGGTATGACAAAATATAATCCTGACTAATGTTGATTTAAACAGACAAAATCAGGAACAAACTTGAATGAGATTTCTAGAATATTTTGTTTTCTGGAATTCACCTTCGCATGCTAGTTTTTTATTGCATTCATCTAAAAAAATACAATGAATCTACAACATAAAAACGTTGCAGAAATTTTGATAACTTATACATATAATTGAGTTACCGTCAAAAAACTTTGAAAGTATAGGACTAGACATTTTTTTATTCATTGCAAGTGATAAATAACTATGCAAAAGTAAGTCCAGTTCTAAAAATAATTCTACCGTTTACCGAAGAGCTTTCTTTGCTCAATGGACATAGTGAAAAATCAAAGTTTCGTGACTTTGAATGCTATGTAAATTAAAGAATGAAGAAGCTGAGAATGATATATAAAAATTGTGGAGCCTTATCATGTCATTACAGTCCATGTCGCAATGTATGGTTGTGTTCTATCTGTCGACCGTGTTTCCATTTCAAAAAGCTCCGTCATAAGGCTGTCGTGCTCAAATCACATAACTACTTACTGCTTGATTTCCATATTCCATCGAGTGTACAAGGTCAATAGTTTTTCAGCGTCCATTTCAACATTCTGATTACACAGAAATGAATAGGCGACTTGCCTTTGAATGGAATAGCAGGAATACATATTATATTATTAAGCAGCTTGAGATATGCAAAGGCTGAACCTATATGCTGAAGAAGAAACTTGAATACACGTGACTTGTGTAATTTTTCATGACGGAGTTCCTTATTAATTACGATGCGTGCTGTTGCCTAAGACACGTGGACGACTTTTGCCGTTAGCCTTTGTGAACTGTTACACGTCACCGCACTTTGCTTGCCTCAGCTGTGTGAAATGACTCGGTGTAAATATCTTTCTGGATAGTCCCGTTATCCCAAGATGATACGAATTATTTTGATTTCCAATGCTATTAAGTACAAGGAATATACCTGTCTTGGAAAATCTAAATTCCCGTTCATGAATATTTTGTATCATATCCGTCCCAAAAGCGATCAGTTGTTGGTGGCAACACACCACCTGCGATTCGCCAAGCAATATGAAATAGTACTTGTGATACATGTCATTCCACCGCGAGTCTATATTGACTGTGGTTCTCACGTGTCTGTCTGATTTGCGTATTTCAAATTGTTTTAGTATGAGGTACTCAACACTCTGTAAATATGCAACTTCAAAAACAACGAAATTTACGACGTTATTATACGTTATGTACGGCAGAAAAAAAATCAGTTTATAAAGCAAAGTTATATTTGTATAATGCTTATAATAACTCACTTGTCGCTTACTAGGTCTTAGGTCTAACCCATTAATGGATTTCGTGTGACTCTGTTGGGTATATTTATTTTTTATTCTAAATCTGGAGATGGTTCATATTTTGTTACATAGGGTCTATATTTTAATATCGGACTGAAATTATATTTATTTAAACTTCAACTTTCGATATTTTTACAAGGAAAGAGCAATCCTAACGTATTAGTTGACTAACTTACCTCAACTCGAACACCTCTTAAAGGAAGAAATTGGCCAGGAGGCCAGTCTTTGGGAACATATCGGTAGAATTCAATATTATCCTTGTACCATTTGACAGAATATAATGAATCGCCGTCTAATTTGTAGGAGCACGTTAGTTCCACAGACTGTCCGGCCCTTATCGGTGACGGAACATCAAACATGTCACCATCTAAACGCAGAGATGCAACGGTGGCTAGACCTAGTAGGAACAAACACAGTGCATGTTATCATAGATTGGAGTATATACGGTACATGTTACTTTTGACAAGACTAGTAGGAACAAACAGTGTTGGTTAAACAGGACAAGCTTAGCACGAATAGAAACATAAAAACAGTAAGAATAGACAATTCTTGCTACCCTGGATAAGCTTAGCATGAATAGATACGTAGGAATAGATTTACTAGGAACACCCATTATATATGTTTCCTTTGAATACCTCAAAATGAAAAAAACTCCGCACATATTATCGTGAATCAACATAAACGGTCTACACGGTGTTACCAGGGAAAACTTCGTGTCAATAAGTATATGCACGATACTATGGACAAGTTCAATAACACTAGAAAGAGTCTGTTTTACAATAGATAATATGTACACCGTACACTGCCAGAGATTGAACTGATTTTAACTGATAAATATTATGAAAAGATGAATACACCTGAAAAAATTAAAACATTCCAGTCATGTATCGACAAGAAACGGGAAAGTCTTAAAATAATTAATCATGTATTAATTAAACGAAAAAAGCATAGGTTATCAGTGCTATACATTATAAATTGGTAGACGACTACAAGTAAAATTTATAATGTATAACACTGATAACCGGTAGACGAGTACAAGTAAGGTTATCAGTGTTATACATTATAAATTGGTAAACGAGTACAAGTAAGGTTATCAGTGTTATACATTATAAATTGGTAAACGAGTACAAGTAAGGTTATCAGTGTTATACATTATAAATTGGTAGACGAGTACAAATAGACTGAGTCCAAACAACTTATGTATAAATTAGATTGTTACAAGATAACAGCTAGGAGGTGAAAATAATATGTCTATAGGTTTTCTTTTGTCGAACCTTAACCTGTCTTATATTTTAGTAGAATTCGTACATGTCTTAAATCCTTATGTGATTCCACGCTGTCTTTTGTTTATGATATTTATTTTTATTTTTTGCTTTGAATTTATTAAAACCCATAAACCACAGCCTATCATGTGCTTACAAATTATTCAAGTCATTTTAACTTGTTGGAAGTGCTGACTAAAAAATCTTTGCTTAATCAGAATGTTAAAACCTACAGTTTCGTAAGTTAATCATTACACAATCTGTAAGATTAGAAATAGGTCACATGTTCAAATTCAATGGAAGTTGCGTGATAAAAATCCATATATTAAGCTTTTCGTAATACATTGCAAGCTCTGAGGTCGAAAAACAGAAGATCTCTGAAACATTGTTACTTAGCCTTTTTCATTGAAACCCTTTCTGTAAAGTTCTGCTATCTGTGGAAAGCAGTTGGTAGCCATTTTCTCATTTAATCATTCATATATCAGAGTAGTATTATATCACAAAGATTGAAGATACCTTGCTTACCCACATCACCCAAAAACGTTTCTTGGCAAATCTTTTATCAAATCAAAGAAGCACTGTAATATCGCAAAATGCACTAATTATCAAGATGGTTGAGTATTTGTTATAAAAAAACATAATTAAAGAATAAGAATAACATTATGTTGAATAAAGACGCAGCCATTTTTATGACTAAAAATTTCGTAAAGGATATGAGGTCAATTACAAGAATCATGAAATTCCAAAGATAAAAAAAGAAAGAAATACTGCAATAGAAAGTTTAAAATAAGCTTATATCACTTGATATTGACAAACAGAAGTAACAATATTTAACATTTGACGTCTTTAAAGATATCAACTTCGAATTGAACTATATGCTCTACGAACAAACGATGTCATGATAGATTGTGACCAAGTACCTTACACATCGTGTGGGTGGATCAATTTACTTTATATATATATATATATATCATCGTACATAATATCGTGTTTTTACAGGTGTATTGAATTAATTTCTTATATATATATATGTGTGTATATCATCGTACATAATATCGTGTTTTTACAAGTTTATTGAGTTCATTTGTTTTATATATATATTTATCATCGTATATAATATCGTGTTTTTACAAGTTTATTGAGTTCATTTGTTTTATATATATATATCATCGTACATAATATCGTGTTTTTACAAGTTTATTGAGTTCATTTGTTTTACATATATTTATCATCGTATATAATATCGTGTTTTTACAGGTTTATTGAATTCATTTCTTATATATATATATATATATATATCATCGTACATAATGTCGTGTTTTTACAGGTATATTGCATACATTTGTTATACATATATACATATTTATCATCGTACATAATATCGTGTTTTAACAGGTGTATTGCATTCATTTATTATATATATATATACACTTTTCAACGACAAATATCTTATTTTTCCCCTTTCTGTCTTAAGTTAGTTTAATTAACAACAATGCAATCTGATTGTTTATTTCTGATTCTTACTTTTCGGAGTCCTTTATACAAGAATAATCATACTTATATCCACAGTCAACCCAAGTGAGATCAAGCACATACTCATTGTCAGATTCTTCTATTAAATGTAGTTGTGTTAACCCGCTGGTGACGTCACGGCATTAATTAATCTGGTTCTTTCCAATTCTCCTTTTAAAATAAGCCTCCTTTTGATTCAGATAGGATTAGAGTTTCTTTTTATCTCATATTATACAAACGAATACTAAGTCAAATAATACTATTAAATTCCATATGTTTGCTTATTTTGTAAAAATGTTTGTACTTCGAAATTAATATTCTAAATGTTCTATTACATCACGTTTAATGGAAGAGTTATGAATGTAGAATTCTCAGTAACATTCTCGTAAAAATTTTTATACACTACAACCACGAAGCGTTGTTTGTCTAATTTCTTAAGTGTCTACGTCACTTAACTTAAAGGCGTGTTTATCAAGTTTGTGGATGGAGCGTCTAGCGACTTGAACTACTAAACCCAATAAAGTATGTAGTGATAGCAGTGATATACAGAAAATATATGCAAATGGTATGCTCTTATACGTTAAGTGTAGAACATTGACACGTTTTAAGAGGTTTTAGCATGTGGCGCTAAAGTTAATTTGTAGCACTAGAAGCATCAACTTTAAACTTTTCGTAAATTATTGCTCATGTTATTACAAATAAGTTGAGTAACTATGTATAGGACTTGACAATATACAATTAAACCGAAAATATTGCTGTAACGAAGTCAGCATTTGCGACTCCTGGGAGACTGTATAAATGAATTGAAAGGAAAGAGATTCGCATAAGTAGTTTTGTTTTTGATTGCACCAGCTTAAAAAAATACTCGTGAATTATGGGAATGGAGAAAATTCTTTACGTGAGAATAAGATTTTGTCAGCCGCTCTAGCTTAACGCTTGTTTTGTCAACAACTATAAAACATGTAAAGAATATATACCTTTGGAATCTAAATATATACTCCTATGAAACCATTATCGATCAATAATCAGGAAAATAATATAGAAAAAATTAAGATGTTAAGAGACTAAGTATAAAACAAAGTGAATTCTTCATTAGTTACGAGACTGGTCATACTACATAAGCATAATAAACAACGAATGAATCGTGAACTACGGTAATGGTTCATAATAGTGATCGCCCATTTGTTCTTCTTTATTATCATTTAATATTGTTCCACTAGCCTACACCAAAAATGGTTGCGAGTATTGTAATAAAACCTAGGTAATATTACTAAATGCATCATTGCAAATTGTGTAGCGTAGTTTTAAGTTTATTTGAATACCTAGCAAATAACAGCAGCTGTATAACCGTTGTTGAAGCCCAGTTCTTTTAATGTAGTCTGTGGTTTATATGGAGCCTCTTGGTCACTAAATGCATACGTATATAGCTGTGTGCAGGCCGTGGTTGCAATTTAATGTTTATATGGCAGGCATGACTCGTGTGCCATAGCGATTATTAACTTATTGTTGCAGCTGTATTGATGTCGCATATCATTTATTTATATATAAGGTTCCTGCCCTTTCGGACATGACGTTGCTGACAGGATCACAGTTTTTTTATACTACTGTATGATCGACTTCGGCCATGTTACACAAACGTTTCGGCTGTCTCTCACAACAGAAGTCGCAGTTTAAAAGATAGTACTAAGCTAAGTTTCGAGCATCGGATCGGCAATCATGGTGATGTCTGATGGTAAGTGTCAAATTATAGTCAACGCTGTGTGATTGCGAATTTTATAGATACTGCAAATAGAGTAGCCAGGAGTGGCAAGAATTGTACAAACAAGAGATGGCGAAAATGATGTCGGTTCTAGACGAAAGTGAGGCAGATATTTTGTAGCTATATATTTTATTTAGAAAATAATTAGTTTTAGATAAAGTATGCAGCAGCAACGGCCCACCAAAATGTATGGATCGACACAGTGTAATGACCCAAACTTCATCAGAAATGGAAGAGGGAAGGTATATTAATATAATTAATTCATAATTGTTAATAAACACGTTTTCAACCTTGTAGAGTGTGAAGAATGTTACTCTAAGGGGAAATATGGCCAGCTGCAGTAAAACCGTGACCGGCCTTAGTATGGTCAGTAGAGAGGAGGAAGAGGAAGGGGGGAATATAACAACTATAAGAAATATTAAAAATTCTTATTTGTATATATATATTATATTATACAATGACACATTGTCATAAACTGGCATTAAATATGTATGCATGCATCTATTAAACTTAAAATATTAATGTGGTTATCTACATATACGGCTCTAGAACTTGAAAAAAACTACAAAGCCTGCATGTATATATATATATATAGATAGCTAGATAGATAGATATAAATACTAGCCAACATGCATGTATAATACTCATGCGGTTACAAAACCCAGTCCATGCACTATTCCAGTATAGTTGGTTCCTTCAATCAAGTGTTTACAGACTCGCATATAGCTACAGGGTATACATGTAGTAGCTATATATATTTTACAATCATATACATAACATGTGATATGTTGGTCACCATGTCTCATAGTGATCATATGTGTAGTACGACTATCAATTATAACATTGTGGCAGTTATAGCCATCC